TTTTTTTTTCTGATTTCAAATCCTTGAAATTACCTTTAGGAACTGGCAAAGCAGTGTAGGGTATTACATATTTTCTACAAGTAAAGATATTTCGCTACACTACAATATATCTTAACAATACCAAGTCCTTAAGCAGAAGTCCGGCTGTTTCTTGAATAGACAAGCGGGAGTAAATGACGACAAACATCGATGCCACCGAGACTCTCCTAGTGGGTTTATAAACGGGAGAAAAATAATAAAAAAAGCCTACCTCAGTGCTATCAGTTGAAATGGATAACTACGAAGAACGCGAATTCAGTTAGCAAAGATCACTACTCTCGTCTCTAGTTGTTCAGTCTTGAACATAATCAGAAACAATAATTATTAAGTGTTTAGAATAGCATCAAGTGTCAGTAGAACTTCTTTTGGAGTTAAAATATAACAATATCAATATAAGGGGAGACCAAGTTTGCTTCCGACCGACAAAAATTAAAAATATGAACGCTTTTGTTATTAGATGTGATCTACGTCCCAGAGGACTCTTGACTCCAGAGGCTACGCCACTGCAGAACGTGACCTGTGGAGACGTCAATGAACCTCGATGGTACGGTGTAATCATGAAATCTTCCTGTAGCCTATCAGAGAGTACAGTCAGTGAAGATTGCAAGGCTGTGGAGAAGTTGAATATGACGGTACGAAGCGAACTTCCCGTGTTTGGATGGAAGCATAATTTTACATACAGGAACATTGCTTGTGCCAAATGTAGCGGTGAAGAGAACGTGGCTTTCTGGGATCTCCAAGTAGAGTGTCAAGGTGAGAAATTAGGTTCAAATGGGTCGGACATCAGTGCAGTTAGGACGTTTGTCATGGATGAAGGAAGAAAGTGTTCTTGGGAATACGATACATCGTCTTACCAAAAGCGACATTGTGTATTGCAAGATACAATATGCAGAGCTAATAAACAACCCTGGATGTCTGTAGTAACAGACCTGTGTTCTTCGTATTCTATGCCCTTTTCATTTCATCATAGTAGGATGTTATTCACATACAGGAACCCTCATTGCGCGCTTTGTGATCCTGAAGGACAATTCGAATCAGACACTGCTGGCGGGGGGATGCCCCCGTGGTCAATCATTTTGGACGTCAGCGGAAACTTTAGGAATCCTGGAACACCAAAGACTCCACAGCCGACTGGAGCAATGACTCAGAGCTTAAACGTTACTGCGGAGATGTTACACTGTACCTCTAACAGTAGTCACTGTAACATCACTGTTGGTGGGAAAACTTGCAAAGCATTTGTTCTCGTGAAAAATCAAACAGCACAGATGAACGACTCCTTGAAAAAAAATCCTGTAAAGATAATGCAATTGAATGGGAGCACTGCATATGTTTTGTGTCCAGATGATGAAGTTACTCACGATTCCAACCAGGATTTCACAGTTCTAGTTTATCTCACTTTAATTGGTTCAACTCTGTCAGTCATTTCTCTGTGTTTTCTTCAGCTCGTTTACGTGTTTTTCAAAGAGCTAAAAAATCTGCCTGGAAAATGTCTTGTCAACATCTGTGGGGCATTACTGTGTTACCAAATAATTTTTTTCGCCTTGGAAAAGGCGAATGAAGTGGACGCTCTTTGCAAGGCAGTTGCCATTTCTCTTCATTTCTTCATCCTTGCTGCATTTTCATGGATGAGCGTTATGGCTTTTAATACAGCAAATGCCTTTACCGTTAAAGGTGAGTCAACAACATTGGTTACGTCCCTGAAACATTACTGAACCCGTGCACGAGCATTAACGGAACATTCTAAAGAGCTTAGTGGCCCACTGGTTCTTGTCATTGATCTATTTCTGAAGCAGGTGCGACAAAGAGCACTGCTTCTAACTGCTCTTAGCAGGGACCGTAGTTCATCGCTGTCGCCTTTCAGCATTTCGT